ACCTGTGCATTTCTTGGCTCCAGAAAGGTCTGCTGTTCCTCTTAGCTCCCTGTTACCTCCTGTCTAAGAACCAAGAAGACAGCTAGGCCGGCATCACTACACCTCAGGCTTGCCCAGGTATGTTCCACACTTTTCGTGCATTGTCTCAATAGCTAGAAGTAAGAGAGCCTGTTTGGGGGGTCTCTTCATGACTGCCTCCTCCAGTCCGAATAAAATGACTGCCCATTCGTGAGAAATATCCCTCCCCAAAGTAGTTATTTCCATATCATACACATACACTAGGATTTCTCCTCTCTTAATCAAGTTACATAGGTAAAAGCTTGGGATTGTTGTAAGGAGAAATTACCCGCGAGACAGGAAACCAGGACAAAACAAGAATTTGGTGAAACAGATCCTCTCCCTTGCCATCTGGAGAGGGAGTTTCTTTATTAGCAGATTTCTTATCCTGGCTGCCGCCGCGGCAGGTCACGCGCAGGGAGCAGCAGCGAACGGTTATAGTTACAGCTTTTTATACACAATTCAAACAGGGGGTGGAGTGTTAGTACGCGCGCGGGAAGAAAGAGGGCTAGTTCTTGCATTGTCTAACTTCGCGGTTACATGCATCATCCAGGGGCTCTTGGAGCTGTTATTTCCTTTTAAGGCATCCTGTTTGCTAGGTCAGCTTGACCTGGTATGTTCCACACTTTTCGTGCATTCTCTCAATAGCTAGAAGTAAGAGAGCCTGTTTGAGGGGTCTCTTCATGACTGCCTCTTCCAGTTCAAATAAATTGACTGCCCATTGGTGAGAAATATCCTGGCCAAACAAGGAAGCTATAAATTTTCTAGTGCAGGGCTGGTAATTATCCCGGCGGGGAAGCTATAAGTTTTCCCAAGGTCCTACAGGGATACCTCTGTTTCTTTGACCTAACTTTCTTTTTAAAGATGAAATATCCCTGTATAAATCCAAATTCACAATAGAAACATGTCCTCAAACTGCCAATATTGACATTCACCACAAGCTTTCTCAAAAGATACAAACTGAAAGCCCCCCAAGTTGTTGTTAACTAGCAGAGGTGTATTTGGGGTTCCACACCCTAAACTGTGTAAAAGTTTGAGTCAATATTTTAATATCAGGTACATTTCAT